AAAAATATTTTTTATCTATCTTGCATGATTTATATGGCATCGTGATATTGATAAAAGCATAAATCTTTTAAGTGTACGTGTTCATAGTGTGTTGTTTTCCTTAAACGTGCGGAGGCATTTTATCTGTTAGGTTCATAAATTGCTTACAAATGCATTTGTGTTGCCTAGTATTTTGTTTTACAGGAATATTAATGTTCTTACTATTTATTTAAATACCAGTCTTACTTTGACGTAAATATCGTGCAGACTGTTACATGTTGTTTAAGATTTTTTGTACGTAAACTGAATGGCTGTGATTTGTTTTGCTGTGCAAAAACAGCAATTTCATCTAATTTATAGTTAGTATTCTGTAATGTAACACAATATTTTTGTTTTATTTTTACACTTCATTTTAGATTTCAAATGTTAAAATTTTATGTTGATAATAAATAATTGATTACCTGTTAAATGTGATTATCTTTACATTTGAAAATTGACCTGTGCATGGATTATCAAACTTTGTTATTATTTCATTCTTTGCACTTTCGTGTACCTACGAGACCATTTTTGAAATATTGTTATCATTATATAGTGGTATATTGCTTCATATTTTATAATTATATAGGTCATGAAAAACTATCAGTTGTTTAGCCTTTACTTAAAATATTCCCACCAACTTCTGCATTAAAGCCATGTGATATTGAGCAGTATTCCTTTGGAGTATGCCGGTTTATAAAGATGACCACACTTATACTATAAACATGCAGTGGTGTGTTTAGCATTAGTGATTGTTAGTCATGCTGAAAGTGTAGTGATACATTGAAAGCTAGTGCGCGTAAACAGACCTTAAATCTGAATTTCAACACAATGATGACGGTTATTAATTGCTACGCTGGAAACAAACCAAACTTCATTTATAATTTACTTTCGTAATACCTAGTAAGATAATGTGAGACTTTAATCAAATCATGGCGTAAATGAACTTTTTCGTGTCGTTAGATTTTTTGGCCTTTTTATTATACAATGAAAAGGTTTACGCATTAAATTGTCACTCTTTGTCTTATATTTATGAAGCCTTTTATATAATATGATGCAAAACAGCGTTTACATCGGAAGCAGCAGGTTGTATGCGTCAACATTTTGGAATTATCTTATATAAGGTAAGACATAGGACATTTAAGTTTTCTATTAAAGAAAAAACAAAATGTTAATCAATATAATAAGTATACCACATTTACGCAACCATGTGTATACAATAAGTAGTGAAGTTGTTCTTTTTTTCCAGTTAGTTCAATATAATAAGAAGTTAAGAACATTTTCAATTTTGCCGTTTACGCGGAGTCGCGTACTGTAAACTTGCCCTTGGTTAATATGTTTTACGGTATAACTTAATTTTATTTCACCGGAACATACACGTTCGTAAGTTGGTACATTTAAAAAAGGCAATTATATCATGCATTTTTTTAAATATACTGGAAAACCTGGTTAGAATTAAAATGCATCATAACAAGAATTATTTCCTTGAAGTGAAGAGAGAATAACCTTATTAATCATCATCATAATTCATATCATTTTTTTATTTATTTAATGTTTGTGTCACATACTTTTGTATAACTATTGGAAGGCACTATGTGATTCACTTCTTTAAATACAATACTTCAGACAAGAGACCTAGATCCTCAGCCATTCAAAATGATCAAGATACTCGTCATGTTAGGAACAGTTATTCCATTTTGTCTTGTAGAAGGGAGAACAGGCTGCTGGGCTGGGCCGCCTGGAAGCCAGGGGAATATCTGCATGTAAGTTGGTTTAAAGAGTTAATTGCAGAAGTATTAAATCGAATGGAAAGCAATTTATTTACGCAAAAAACAATTGCAACGCAATACAAATTCTGAATTCTGTATTATTTATCAGTTCCTTTGTAACAAATATTGAAGCACTGAGAACCAATTATTATTATTATTATTATTATTATTATTATTATTATTATTATTATTATTATTATTGTTATTATATTTATTTAGTTAGTAAAAAATCAATCTGATAAAATCTGCATCTGCACGTACTTGTATGTAGTGGGTGGAGGTATTTTTATAATAAAAGAGTAAGATTAATACTGTGTAAGCCGGTGATAGGGGGCATGAGAGAATTAAACCATTAATATTCCCTTATACGTTTCTATTTTCTTATTGTTGCTGTTGAGAGATATTCTCTACTTCAGAGTTATCTTTCTGTCATTTGCTGTCACTAAATTTATTATATTTTCAGACAAAATACCACTGTGCCGGGACATATATCTAATGACATAAGGTATTCGTTCATTTCGAGGTATACACACATATGCTGTGACGTTTTAGCATGCACTGACTTCCGTGGATGCCGTTTAAAGGCAGTGGGATGTTTCCAGGGCATGGTGTTATCACAACGATTGCCGTGGGAGTTGAGAGATATTCATCCTCTCGTCAGATGTTCTTCGATCAACCAACCTGGCTATTATCAGTTTGAAATACACGCGTAGATTGTCTTACATTTTTGCTAAATTGGCTTTGACTGAATATATACACGGAAAAATGATTAAGTTTGTAAAATTATTTCATGAAAAGTTAAAATTATCTTTATTTGGTATATTTCCATGAACAGTAATTATCGTTAAAACAAGTTAAGTTTATTGTTGAATGTCAAATCCAGATCCTAGTAAAATGGTGTACAAATATATCAATGCATATTGTATTCTCAAATATGCCTTTTTCGTCTGTTTTACTTCTTTTGACAAAGTTTGTCTTTCCAGTTGTACATGTATTTTAGAATACTCAGTAAGGCTTCAAATAAATGATAAAAAATAAAATTAGATCAATAGCGTTGGGCCACGTATACGAAACGCAGACCAACAGCATCCATAAGCAACAGCACCAAAATTGGCACAAAATGAGCAACGCTAACCAAACGGTGCGAGCAGGGATGAGGGGGTAGGGAAAATGACCGAGGGGCGGGGCAAAATTTGAAGAAAAAAAGCCTGGGGAATGGGACTACATTTGACGACTTAAATACGAAGAGGGACACAACAAATGTCACCATACATAACACACATCTAGCAGTAAACAAGACATACATCTTGTGTAACACAAAGGGGGACGTCTGGCAACGGTCAGTTTTAGATCGAAATTTCGTAATATATTTAATAGGCATTGGGCATCAGTAATCCTTTAGGCTATTCTACCCTTTTCTTGGATTGAATATTAAGACCAGAGTGACATTTACTCAGCCAAGGCTTTATAGTGAGGGAACAGGTTAAAATCAAAATAAGTTTACATTTTGCCATAATAACATCGATATTATTTATTCACATTGCGTAAAGATAAAAATAGATAACAAGGAACTTGATATAAATGTTCATCGGAATTTATTTTTAATATTCGATTTATAAAAAAGAATGCAGCAATCGTTTTCTATTTTAGGAAGATTCATATTCTATGATTTCCATTTTTCAATATCAAATGTTGGTCAATCACCATTATAACAGATATATTGGTAATTTAGCTCAACTTACCAATGGAGATATGAGTATTATGTCACTTAAATTATCAACTTTACAGTGCGTTATAAGTTCTGCTGTTTCAGTAAAGAACGTCTTTAGCTTATATGAATCTCTCACGAGTTTATTTCTTACTAAACATCACTTTAGGGGAAAAAATACTGAGCATGATACCAGCAGGGCCCGAACCTGCGATGCCTTGATCAAGTGGAAGACACCATAACAACAAGGCAACTGCTAATTACTGCAACAGTTCGGACAAGAGCAGTTACCTGAATTAATACCGTATTTAATTTGTAAATAGATTTATTTAAACTGTTACGCCCTATATTCTAAATCATATTATAAGCTGAGGGATTGTCGGGAGTTGAGATATCAGGATCTCAGCCACCATTTATCCTAGCGTTATCTAAAAGGCGGCTAAATGGGTTTAAATAAATGGATTCTATGCATCTCTTTGCTACAGCATTTGAGATGGTTTTGTCCCTTGATGTTGCCTTAAGTTTGTAACACCCGAAGATAGCCATAATCATCTGTCCTGTTCGGCGCAATATGACGTACCGAAATTGTGTTGATGCGCCGTAAAAAACCACAGGAGCCTGAAATTATATCAAAAACAAAAAAATAACGATTTAAAAAAATTTCCCATATATATACTATAAAAAACACAAGGAAGGCAACAACATTTCCACACCCACCACTACATTTACCAGGAATATTTATAAAAACGCCTGGGATTTACTTCCGAGCACTTTTAATCAATAAAGCACATTAAAATCTATCAGAAACACTGATTACTCTTATCAACTATCCAACTTTTACGCCAATTGAATGAATTGATCACTGCATTTCTTCCCATCGTCCGGTTCCATTGCCAGTTCTGCGCTAAATTCCGTCATACCGTCATTGACTGGTTTTTTTGTAGATCCCGAAACTCTATCAAAAACGAAAAGAAGGATTTAAATAAAAATCCCATATTATAAATACTATTATAATATATAGGATTTTTATTTAAAGCGTTCTTATTTTTTTTGTTTTGGGAAAGAATTTCGGTACATCTACAAAAACCGGTCAATAACGGTATGACGGAATTTAGCGCAGAACTGGCAATGGAACCGACGATGGGAGAAATGCAGTGATGAAAATTCATTCAATTGGCGTAATAGTTGGAATAGTTGATAAGAGTAATCAGTGTTTCTGAAAGATTTTAATGTGCTTTATTGATTAAAAGTGCTCGAAGTAAATCCCAGGCGTTTTTATAATTATTCCTGGTAAATGTAGCGGTGGGTTTTTTAGCTCACCTGTCACAAAGTGACAGGGTGAGCTTTTGTGATCGCTTTTCGTCCGGCGTCCCGTCCGTCCGTCCGTCCGTCGTCCGTCCGTCGTCCGTCCGTCCGTCCGTAAACTTTTACTTTAAATGACATCTCCTCATAAACCACTAAGCCAATTTCATCCAAACTTCACAGGAATGTTCCTTTGGTGGTCACCTTTAAAAATTGTTCAAAGAATTTAATTCCATGCAGAACTCTGGTTGCCATGGCAACCAAAAGAAAAAACTTTAAATATCTTCTTTTAAAAAACCCAAAGAGCTAGAGCTTAGATATTTGGCATGGAACATCTTCTAGTGAGTGTCTACCAAGTTTGTTCAAATAAAAGCCCTGGGGTCAAAATTGGCCCCGCCCCAGGGGATCATTGATTTTCCCTATATGCATATAGTAAAAACTTAAAAAATCTTCTTTTAAAGAACCCATAGAGCTAGAGCTAAGATATTTAGCATGAAACATCTTCTAATGGGTGTCTACCAAGTTTGTTCAAATAAAAGCCCTGGGGTCAAAATTGGCCCCGCCCCAGGGGGTCATTGATTTTCCCTATATGCATATAGTAAAAACTTAAAAAATCTTCTTTTAAAGAACCCATAGAGCTAGAGCTAAGATATTTAGCATGAAACATGTTCTAATGGGTGTCTACAAAGTTTGTTCAAATAAAAGCCCTGGGGTCAAAATTGGCCCTGCCCCGGGGGTCATTGATTTTCCTTATATGTGTATAGCAAAAACTTAAAAAAATCTTCTATGTAAAAAACCCATATAGCTAGAGTTTAGATATTAAGCATGAAACATCTTCTAGTGAGTGTCTACAAAGTTTGTTCAAATAAAAGCCCTGGGGTCAAAATTGGCCCCGCCCCAGGGGGTCATTGATTTCCCCAATATGCATATAGTAAAATCTTAAAAAATCTTCTTTTAAAGAACCCAAAGAGCTAGAGCTAAGATATTTAGCATGATACATGTTCTAATGGGTGTCTACAAAGTTTGTTCAAATAAAAGCTCTGGGGTCAAAATTGGCCCCACCCCGGGGGTCATTGATTTTCCTTATATGTGTATAGCAAAAACTTAAAAAATCTTCTTTGAAAAAACCCAAATAGCTAGAGTTTAGATATTAAGCATGAAACATCTTCTAGAGAGTGTCTACCAAGTTTGTTCAAATAAAAGCCCTGGGGGTCAAAATTGGCCCCGCCCCAGGGGGTCATTGATTTTCTCTTTATGCATATACATGTGGTAAAAACTTAAAAAATCTTCTTTTAAAGAACCCAAAGAGCTAGAGCTAAGATATTTAGCATGAAACATGTTCTAATGGGTGTCTACAAAGTTTGTTCAAATAAAAGCCCTGGGGTCAAAATTGGCCCCGCCCTGGGGTCATTGATTTTCCTTATATGTGTATGGCAAAAACTTAAAAATCTTCTTTGAAAAAACCCAAATAGCTAGAGTTTAGATATTAAGAATGAAACATCTTCTAGTAAGTGTCTACAAAGTTTGTTCAAATAAAAGCCCTGGGGTTAAAACTGGCCCGCCCCAGAGGTGTCATTGTTTTTAACTATATGCATATAGCAAAAACTTAAAAAATCTTCTTTTAAAAAACCCAATGAGCTAGAGGTTAGATTTTAAGCAGGAAACATCTTTTTGTTGGTGTTTACTTTTTTTAAGTTGTAAATATCCAAAACTTTTTTCTTAAGACAGTACATATGACATCAAAACATGACTAAAATATTTCCGAATCAGACTGAGATGACTTTGAAAGCAGACATGCAATTATGACCGGGTTTAGACTGTTCCTAACCATTGGTAGATGGCAACAACATTTAGTTGATAAGCAAATTAGGCTATCCCAAACATTCATTCCGACGATTTCACTTTGCGTGCATGTACCCCCTACTTAAAATTTTTATGCGTGCATCTAGAATTTTGTGCGTGAATTATGCACTGTAGTGCGTGAATGGGCATGCTGATCCCTTTAGGGGCTGCCATAGCTAAAAATAGTAAATGAAAATTATTCTTGTAAATTTCTAGATAGATATTCACTAAATGATATATATGTTATTTGCTCTCTTTTGTTTCCATATTTGCATATTGATGGGACAGTACAGAGATACTGAGAGGCTTACATATTAGTGCATAATCCAATTAACGAAATGAAAAGAAGTGACCAACCTCACCAAAAATGTGCCATTGATGAAAACCAGTTTTCATAGTTATAAATTTCATTTAAATAATCATAAAATCATTCTTACATGATAAGATAATATTTACTCATTTCATGCTTAGTTGATCAGATTTGATCCTAAAATATTCATCAGTGAGTTAAGAGGGTCTCTTACAATGGAAATGTAACCACCTGGCTGATCAGTGATGCTTGTGCTTATATTGTCTTTGTTACACCATTTACTTTTTGATTCAATTGAAAATGTAAAATAAAAGAAATATTCATTATTTTTGCACATATTTTAGTATTAAATGAGTTTTACAAACATGTATGAAGGTGATTGAAAGAACAATTGTGATAGATATTATTTAAATAAAGTTTAACAGAACATAAATTGTATATCTAAAATAAGTATCTTGTGTGTCTTCTGTACCAGGTAGGTATAATATATTATATTTTTCATAGTATCGTCCCATTGGACACAAACATTTATAGAAGAGACTATTTGAAAGATAACCATAGATAAACAATATTTATTGACAAGACTTTTTGTGAAATAACATTGTGATATATAACAGAGACAACATATTTGTGATTGTGCATTGTGCTTGTGATATGTGATACATTGTGACACTTATAGTGCTAGTGACATTTAATACCTTGTAACATAAGGTTGTGACACTCTAGTGTTTCTGAAATTACAAAGTGCTTCTGCCACATCGTTGTTTCATTGGAAACTGTTAGAACTGCTCCAGTGGTAGCTTTCCAGCATAGGAAAGGTATGTCTTTGCTAAAATTAATGGGTAAACCAGTAGTAATGAGTTTCAAGGCTTAGTTTGCTTGTTCTTAAAAAGAAAAAAAGTCAAGATAAAATTAGCTTTAGACTATTTTATTGATCCTGTTAATTAATTCCAATTTTATTAATATCAGCTTAAATGTGAATTAAAGCAGCTTAAATCGGGATTTTTAAGCAAATGCCAAATTTTGACAATATCTTTGTAAACTCATTCTGTTAACATGAAAATATGGTTTTTGTGCCTGAACTTTTCTTTTTGCAAAACAAAAAATTTCATGACCTAAACATGTTTTTATGTTGTAAAATCTGTAACAAAGAGCTGTATCTCATCCCTTGCTTATTTATCATTTCAGTTAGACATGCCACTCAGTAAAGCATGGAAAAAGGCAAAGGCCAGGAGGGCAATATTGGTAACGAGGGAGCAGACGTTGGCAGAAGATCCTGATGTAGTCCCTGTCATAAGTCCCGTCATTATTCCGGCAGACAGGGCCCCATCAGCACCTGTCATAGGTCCGGTCATCGTGCCGGCAGACATGGTTGCTGGGGCAACTGATGTAGGTCCAGTCAATTTGACGGCATTCAGAGCCCAAAAAGCACCTGATATAAGTCTGGTCAGTGCACGAGCTTTCAGGGCGCTTGCAAGTCCGTCCATCAGTACGGCAAACACAAAACAAAACTCAAACAAAACAAATGCTATATATTCCGAAATGGAACAAATATTATCTCAAAACTCAAATTTGAATCAAAGAATATGCAATACATCTTCTGCAATGGAAAAAGAACAAAGCAAACTTGTGAATAAGTCTTACGAGTCATATTGCACTGGTATGCCCTTCAGCTGCTTGTCGTTAGTATTTGGTTCTTTCAGTCAAGCAAATAATAGATTTTCTATTCAAACTAGAGGTAGTCAATGTACTATTAACTCATTATGTGCTTTAATATATTCAAAATATTCTGATTTGATAACAACAGAAAATATTGATGAGGTCTTAAACATTGGAGACGAGCTGTACAGGAATGTTGTTAATAATTTAAAACAACTTGGTAGATTTAAGCATCGATTGTTAAGTCTTGATGAAATGCCTGATCAAGTGAATGTTTTGCCCGTACTCTGCCTTGTGCCCTGTCCTGTTTTTCTTTGGGGTCCTCCTGGGCTCCTTGCCGCTGGCGCTTGTTGCTGGGTCGGGTGGGGGCTGCGTTCATTGAAGGCCGCCTTTCCTTGTCGATCTTGTTTATCATATTTTGTCCAAAGTTGTACAAATAAGAAAAGGAAACATTGTATCAGGATTGACTATTCAGCATTTCGGAGATACAGACTTGCCAACTTTACATCAAGCCTTGTATGCAACATTTCAAAGAGCAAAGCATGCATTGGTCATGATTGGATCAATTTGTTCTGCGGTGTTTCTTAAAGATGAAGAGTTTTGGCTGTTTGATTCACATTCACATGGAGAATATGGACTGTCAGATGTTGATGGAAAGTCTGTATTGATGTCATTTCATAAACTTGAAAACCTTGTCACATTTATGTATGCTATGTATGAAAGTGCAAATATTGATATAATGAGCCAATATGAAATATTGCCTTTAAACTTTAATGTAGTTCAATGCACTTCACAATACCATAATATGTACATTAACAATCAGCAGAAAATAACTGATATCAGCAAAACTGATGCTGATGATGTTTGGCAAACAGTTTCTTACAAAAAGCAAAAGAAATCCACTAACTTTTCTGTCATGCCAAAAGATGAACAATTATGTGAAGTAGTTAAAAAAACCATTAAGCAACAGTCTATTGACCATAAAGTAAAAGAAAGGACATATAGTTATCCTGCAGTTGGGCTTAAGACAAAAGTAAAAAATGATACAATATTGATTGGGAAGTACTTTAAACACCAATACCAAAAACAGCAACAGAAAAATAAAGAAGGAGAAAGTGATAGAAAAGCCTACATGAGACTGTACATGCAAAAGCGAAGGCAAAGTGATCAATTCAAAGTAAAAGATAAAGAATTCACTTTCAAGTCAAAGCGAAAAGCAAGGTCAGACGAAGCATTCAAACAAAAAGAAATTCAGATACAAAATAAATCCAAACAAAAGGCACGGTCAGATGAAGCATTTAAACAAAAAGAAATACAGGTTCAAAATAAGTCCAAAAAAAAGGCAAGGTCAGATGAAGCATTTAAACAAAAAGAAATACAGGTTCAAAATAAGTCCAAAAAAAAGGCAAGGTCAGATGAAGCATTTAAACAAAAAGAAATACAGGTTCAAAATAAGTCCAAAAAAAAGGCACGGTCAGATCCACTTATTTTAGAGCAAGAGAAAATAGCTAAACAGGAATCTCGAAAATGTCCAGAATACAAGCATAAAGAAATGCAAATACAAAATAAATCCAAACAAAAGGCACGGACAGATGAAGCATTTAAACAAAAAGAAATACAGGTTCAAAATAAGTCCAAAAAAAAGGCACGGTCAGATCCACTTATTTTAGAGCAAGAGAAAATAGCTAAACAGGAATCTCGAAAATGTCCAGAATACAAGCATAAAGAAATGCAAATACAAAATAAATCCAAACAAAAGGCACGGACAGATGAAGCATTTAAACAAAAAGAAATACAGGTTCAAAATAAGTCCAAACGAAAGGCACGGACAGATGAAACATTTAAACAAAAAGAAACTGATGTACAGAATAAATCAAAACGAAAGGCAAGATTAAATCCATATACATTAGAAAAAGAAAGAGTTGCTAAGCAACAGCGGAGATTAGATGAAAGAAACAAAAGCAAAGAAAAAATACTAGATTGTAAAAGAAAATCTGAAAAACGTAAAAATCCATTATTTTCAGAAGCAGAAAAGGTAACTGCAAAACGAAAAAAAAGTGGTAATGATATAGAAGAGTGTATTGCGAAATTTCATCAAAACATACAAGAAGGTCCCATCTATGTTTGTAGTTCATGCCACCAGACGTGGTTTAAGGAATCTGTATCAGAGGTCCTTACTTTTACTTGTAAAGACAAAAATAAGTACATAACTGGTCTAAAGTCAGTAGCTGAAAAAGAATGGATATGTGTTACATGTAAGCATAATATTAAAAAGGGGACATTACCTAAATTGTCAGTTTTGAATGGAATGGAATGGCCAACAAAACCAAAAGAATTGGAACTGTTTCCTCTTGGAGAACGCTTAATAGCATTACGTATTCCATTTATGCAAATTAGAGAACTACCAAGGGGGCGTCAGTTATCTATAAAAGGGAATGTTGTGAATGTTCCAGTTGATATCCAACCAGTTGTTAACACTCTACCAAGACCCATGAATGAAAACATTACTGTAGCTGTGAAATTAAAAAAAAAGATGTCTTTCCAGTCATGTGCATTTTCTGAAAATGTTCGGCCACTTCGAGTACTTATTGCTTTACATTGGTTGATGAACAAAAGCAATCTTTATAAAAATGCAAATATTGACATTGATGAGCAGTGGATAAAGGATGTTACAGAAAACAGTAATGAAGTCATAAATGAATTTTTCGAGTCAAAAGTAACATCTGAAATCATGCCAGAGTGTGACACTGATAACTATGTAGATGCATTGAATAATTCTCGTTGTTCGAGTGATAATGCCTCACATGTATTGCACAAATATTTTGAGGAAAATATTAAGCTATGTAAAACACTTGGCACTGTTGACTTTGAAGACTGTGTTGGTGAAGTTATTGACTGTGCAAAAGTAAAGAATGCTGAAAATAAAAGTTCTCATTCAGCACTAGAAGATTTGTATGACTCTGATTCTGAAGAAGTTACTAATGAAAATGTTGGAAATATTGACACTCTTTTAGATGATGCAGATATTGAAAACAGACATGCTACTTTTACATTTGCACCTGGTGAGGGTCAGCGACCACTTAGTATTTTTCAAGATAAAGATTCAGAGTATCTGTGTTTCCCTAGCATATTTTGCGGTAAAAGGCGAATTGATAATGAACACAGAAAAGTACCAGTTAATTATAGTGACATTGCTAAGTGGGAACTTCGCAGTCAAGATAGACGTGCAGCAAACAGTGTGCCTAACATATTTTTTAAGTTAAAAAAAATACAGATGAAGCAATTAAATGACAAGTCAAATTTAGCTGTTAGAAGAATTCAGACTGGTACAAACAAATTAACTGCTGCCCAGGCAAGAAATGGGGAATGCATGGATACAATTGTAAAGAATGATCAAGGTTACTATTTGTTCAAACAGCTGAGAAACAGTCCAGCTTACTTAGAATCCAGAAAGAAAGATGTTTATGCAATGCTAAGACAGTTAGGTATACCAACTTGGTTTATGTCCTTGTCTTCTGCTGATACCAGATGGACAGATCTTCTTAAAATCCTTGCAAATCTAAATCAAAAAGATAAGTACAGCGATGAACAAATAGAAAACCTAACTTGGGAGCAAAAGATAAAAATGATTCAGTCAGATCCAGTTACTTGTTCAAGGTTTTTTGACCATAGAGTTCAAGAGTTTATAAATACTGTTCTTAAAAGTGATCATAATCCATTAGGTAAAGTGACAGATTATTTTTATAGAGTTGAATTCCAACAACATGGATCTCCGCATATTCATATGATTGTGTGGGTTGAAAATGCTCCAAAATTAAATGTAGACTCAATTGAAGAGATAGCAGCATATGTGGACCAGTACTTAAAATGTTCAATTAACAATGAATTTGTTGGGGCTTTGGTAGACATCCAAATCCACAAACATTCAAGAACGTGTAGAAAAAAACAAGATCAAATATGCCGATTTGGTTATCCATTACCACCTCTGCAAAAAACAATGGTGTTATTTCCTCTTGAAAATGACAAGGATAAATATCTCAAACAGTATGCAAAAATCCAGAAAAGAATGAATGATCAGAAACATGGATACAATATGTCTTTTGAGAAATTTTTGTCAGATATTGCACAGATGAATGAGGATGATTATATCAAATGCATTAGAAGTTCATTAAACTCTCCCAAGGTGTTTTTGAAAAGAAATCCAAGTGAGATACGTGTAAATTTATACAATGATGTAGTATTGAAAGCATGGAAAGCAAATACTGACATACAATTTGTCTTGGATCCATATGCTTGTGCCATGTATATTGTTTCATATATAAGTAAATCCCAACGTGGTATGAGTAATCTTATGTATGCTGCTGCAAAGGAAGCAAGAAATGGCAACCTAGATATAAAAAGGCAAGTAAGACACATTGGAAATGTGTTTTCAAACAGTGTTGAAGTGAGTGCACAGGAAGCAGTCTATCTAGTTTTGCAAATGCCCTTGACCAGAAGTACAAGAGACGTTGTATTTATAAATACTTCTGTACCAAACCAAAGAGTACAATTGTTAAAGTCAAAGTCTGCTCTTGATGAGTTGCCTGCAGACTCAACTGATATCATGTCAGATAACATCATAAAAAGATATTCAAAACGTCCAAAGGCTTTAGATAACTATTGCTTAGCTGATTATGTGTCACAGTTAGAAGTGATTTACCCAGATGATAAGGAAGATATAAGTAATTCAGAGCAAAATGATGATGAAAAACATGATGAAATGTCAGGAGATGAATATTTTGATGATTGCCAAAACATTTGCGTACTGAAAAGTGGTATAAAAATCAGAAGACGCCGTAATTCAAAAATCATAAGGTATGTAAGATTTAATTGTAAAACAGATGAAGAAAACTATTATAGAGAAAAACTACTTCTCTTTTATCCCTGGAGAAATGAAGAGAGAGATTTACTTGGACACTTTGCAACACACAAAGAAAAGTATGAATCAGTCCAAAATGCTGTAAATGAAAAATGTGCATGTTATGAACATCATGTTGATGAGTTAGAATTAGCAAGAAATATGGCTGAAGAAGAATACAATGCATATGATGAAATTGCTCCTGGAACTCAGCAAGAAGAAGCAGAAACTGCTGAAGAAGAACCAGTAGAGTCAGAAACATTTATCTATTTCAATCCAGATAGAGTAAGTGAACAAAGAGAATATGACATTGGCATAGAAATTGGTTGTTCCGTTTCATCTGCACAAATAAGTTCTAATGAAAATATTTTATCAGATGAAGAGTACAGAGCTCTTCTGCGTTCGTTGAACTCAAAACAGAAAGAGTTTTACAATCATGTTGTTCACTGGATAAAAACAAAAGATGCACCTTTATATACATTTCTTTCTGGTGGTGCTGGTGTTGGTAAAAGTGTTGTTATAAGAGCATTGTATCAAACACTATATAGAATGCTTAATTTGAAAGAAGGAGAAAACTCTGATGATGTAAGGGTGCTCTTGTGTGCATATACTGGAAAAGCGGCTTTCAATATAAATGGCTCTACTATTTCGTCCGCATTTAAGCAGAAGTACAAACAGTCTGATCAAACATTAACATGTGACAGCTTGAACACATTCAGATCCAAATATCGAGATTTATCTGTTGTCATAATTGATGAAATTTCAATGGTTAGTAATACTATGATGAGCTTCATAAATCAGAGACTGCAAGAATTAAAAGGCACTCGCAAACCATTTGGAGGTGTAAGCATTATCGCAGTGGGAGATTTATTCCAGTTAAAACCTGTAAATGGTGATTGGATATTTAATGATTTAAGTCGTGATGTTGCATCTTTGTCCATGAACTTATGGAAAGAACTGTTTCTTATATACGAGTTATCAGAAGTAATGAGACAAAAGGATGATTTACCATTTGCAGACTTATTAAACAGGCTCAGAATTAACTCACTGACAACAGAAGATAAAATGGTTCTTAAAGGTTGTGAAGTTGAATCCAGTGCTAAGAATTATCAAGTAAACTCCCCACATCTATTTGCTGAAAACTATTACATGCATATTTTCAATGATACACTGCTAAACAGTTCAAACAATCAAAAAGTGTCCATTCTTTGTCATGATTCTGTTGTTTCACCAAAATTATCAAAGGATAAACAAGAAGAGGCTATCAAAAGATTGCCCACTGATCCAAACAGAACTGCTAATCTTCATTGTTCATTGGATATTGTTATAGGGATGTTGTATGATTTAACTGTCAATACAAATACTGAAGATGGCCTTGCAAATGGTGCGTCATGTGTTGTAAAGTTCATAGAGTATAAACTGAAGGAAACACAACGTCCTAGTATCATATGGGTTCAATTTGTGGATTTGAAAGCTGGTTGTGGAACTAGATTAAAATATAAAAGTCGAGGCTTTTATCATGAACAAATAAATGAAAATTGGACACCAACATTTGATATCACAAGAACCTTTACATATAACAAAAAAACTTTTGAAAGGATCCAGTTTCCATTACAACCTTCTGCTGGGAGATCAGTTCATAGAGCACAAGGAACAACACTTGATAGTGTCGTGATTGACTTATCCCAAAGAAAAACACGAAAAGTTCCTCACCTTCATTACGTTGCATTAAGTAGAGTACGGTCTTTAGAAAAGCTTCAAATTCTCAATTTTAATGAGCAGGCTTTACAAGTTGATGACAAAGTTAAAACAGAAATGGAGAGATTGCTTAAAGATGCTTCTCTAGAATTGTGTTATGTTCCCTTGGAATCTATACATTTATTTTCAAAAATGGATTTTAAAATCGCATTCAACAATTGTAGGTCATTAAACAAGCATTTCATTGATGTGAAACATGATCAAGGATTGTTGTCTTGTGATATTATTGGATTGGCAGAAACTAGATTACATGAAAATGATAATGATACTTCTTATCAGATACAGGGATACCATTTAATACGCAATGACCAGTGTACTGCATCAACATCTGAAAGACCTCCACATGGGTTACTTATTTATGTCAAAGCTGATGTATTAGTAAAATCTGCAGACTGCTTTAGCTCCCAGAATTTTGAATTTGTTCTTCTGAATGTTGCAAGAGAATTAAGTGAAATGCAAGTTGTAGTATTGTATAAATCACCAAAAATGTCAGATTCTGCTTTTCGCACTATGCTGACAGAGAAACTCTTTCCACATTTGGTACCCCATAAGCCTTTAGTTATTCTGGGTGATTTTAATATTGATGTTTTAAATTATCATAGGGGTGTTTTGCAGTATTTGTATGATAAGCTTAACTGTAAATTACATCTTAATGAACCTACAACTGATAATCTATCAGCATTAGACTTGATAATAACAAATATTGATGCCACTGTGGGTACAGTAGAAACTTACTGGTCAGATCACAAAATTATCTACTGTTGTACAGAAAGAATCTCTACACAATAAAATATGATGCTAACCCAAAAAACAGCCATTGCTTTACTTACCAGCTCTTCTTAAAAATGTCACCATTTTACAGATTTCTCTTTCAGATATCTTTGTCACTGTATTCAACCTAACACTGTAATGTCAAGTCTTCGTATAAATAAAAAAAAAAAATGTTGATTTACTTGTAGTCTTTGTCATTGTCTTACACTTGTACACAGTGACATTGGTCACAAAGTATTGTGACATAGATTTTTATGATGTTATTGACGCATTTAACCATTTGTCAACATATTATGTCAACAAAAACTAGTGCAGATTTCAAACTAAGTTAAATAGTTTCAGAAACTAAGTCACCCCATCAGAGCTTTGGGAAACCTTTGTAAAACTGAGATCACTTTTTACCCAGTTTAATTGAAACTAGAATGTTTGCCTTCACAAACTCTAAATACAGGCATTCACCCATGCCTCAGGTGAGCGACCCAGGGCCCAAGGGCCCTCTTGTTATAGTATATATATGGGAATTTTTTTTAAATCGTTATTTTTTTGTTTTTGATATAATTTCAGGCTCCTGTGAAAAAACAAACAAAAAATCGATATACATGTTTCAAATTAGACATTTTGATAACGTTAATAAATTCGCTAAAGTAAAAACGTTGTCAGTACTAAAATTCCTTTTCTGTCATCGAACATTATCTATATTTTTAATTAAATATTTACTCAAATAAACAAAGCACCCTTCCTAGATACTATATCCCAAATATCTTTGTTACAATACACGTCTAATATAAATAATCTGACTAAAACTGTTTTAAGTTTACGTTCTATCTTCTTAGACGTATTATAACCCTCTTGAAGACGAGGTATTGCCTATAAGGGTTGAGGTATCAGAATTGTGACCACTTTAAAACCCTGCGTGATCGTAAGAGGCGACTTACTGGAGTCTAAACATCTCTTAGCTCCAGCATGTGAAATGGTCTTTACCCCTGTTGTTACTTAAAGTTTGTAACACTCGATGGTAACTAAAATCATCTTTATTGTTTCGATGCCATAAATTATGTTGGATGTGCCTTTAAACTAAACAAAACAAAAACAAACAAAAAACATATTTTAAATAATTGATATTACAGACACATTATTATTCTTAGCTATTCCTTACCTTTTCCTTACACACCTCCAGAATATGAATATCATTTATTTACTATTCAAAATGAATCTGAAATACTCAAGAGAACAGAAAAAAATATATTAAGAAAGCATAACCCAATGAAATTGAATTCTTTGTCTATATTGTCTGAAGATATGCAAATATAGTCCTGACTAGTATTGCGATAAACATAGTTATTTCAGAAAACGTTTGTAAATGTTGCAACGTACTGGAAAGTGAAATTCGCCATATAATCTATACTGTGTTTGTGCGGTGTAAAATCCAACAACAACAATAACATTTTTTCCAGAATAAATGCTGCTGCTGAATAACGCCTCCATTTGGCATAGCTTTGTTTGGTATGTCTTGCTATTCAAGGGGTGTATAAAAAATTTGATATCACTTTCGTTTATAAACAACGTTCTGTAACATTTGACAAGTCATAATAAGGGTTATTTCCGTGAATATTCTAGGAAATGCTTTGATAGTCTTGTAACTCCTCATGTTTGCTTTTCATACATTGTACATTTTTTGGTGCACGAAACAGAAATCGCATTTAGGGCAAGTAAATATTATTGAACCAGATATTGGAAACCAATTAGTTAAGATATCCTTTATTTGTACAAAACCCTTTAAATATGCATTATATTGCAACTTTTATATTTTTCTGGTCCCTTGATAAATATAATAGTGTTTGAAATAAAATATTCTGAAACTGCTAAAGGAAGAATGACACGGTAGTTATGTGATGAATCATAATTTGTATTTTACTACAAAACGTGGAGAAGTTTGAACATATTTCAAATGAGAAAAAAAAACAATTTAAAAATAGATATATGACTGTCAATTTAATTAAGTGCAATTTTAACAAGCTTACCTTGGACAGTCATCTGTAGCTATTTTACTCAGATAATTACTGTGTTAATTACGTAGTAGATTGATATTGATATTGATATTAGTGTAAGATAATAGATTTTATTAGTATTTAAAATGTACATTTAGATAAACTTTATATATTATATATTTGGAAAAAAAATAAGATTACGAATGCTATTCGAAAATCAGAGTAGTTTTTGATTTTATTTTGTTTTCAAAATTTGTCTTTCTGGGGACGCAGGTATTCTTTGATTCATCAGGAATTCCATATCGTTCTATATAAACTCCTGAATCTTTCGGCTCTATTCGTACAGCGTTCGGTGAAGCCATAGCTGGGTCTTCAGGAAAGTAGTTATAAGGTTGTAATATGAAGCTAGGTGAGAGGCCCGTTGTAGTTGTAAGTGGCAAATCTTCCTTGTGAGGGATATGATGAACACCTAGTGTCACCCACAGAACAAGATCCTGAAAATAGTATTAAAAGTAGACAATTTCTGCATTAAATATATCTCTTTCATGTGTTACAAAACTATGAAAGAATAAAATATATATAAATATATATTTATTTTATACAGTAAGAGTATTTTAAATTATTCCAGAATATTTGATAAAATATATAAATAATTCATTCTGTACCAGTTACTTCAACCAAATCTTTAACTTGACCTACCCTCAGACACTGTTATCTAATGTACCATATTTTGGACAGTTTAGTGTGCATGATCTTTCCCATGATCGCAGAGTAATAAATGTCATTAACGATAAAAGTATTCAAACGGTCTTATCAGACTTAATGTATAACATTAAATACGCAGTTTAATTTGGAAATAAAATAAGTCACTTGACATTGTTTAGTACAATTTGAAATGATTTATGACAGTTTAAACGCAGTTTTTTCCAACAGTTTCATGGTATATATACAAATAATACCAATAAGTAATATACGCGATAAAGGCATAAATTGTTGAAAATAGATTGGGATCGAAATTAATATTTAAATACTCAAAATATTTAAATATCTGAAATTAATTTTCAGACCTTGCATCATTACAAAACATTGTTCAATCCTTTTTTGGTCAAGTGTCATGCCATAGGCATTAAAACTGTATTTTCAGCATAGAACGTTGTGCTCCTAAAATGTCTCTCAAAATGTGTTGCATTATCAGAAGGGCAGTGTCAAATCGGCAATCGGTAAAATTATAGTGATTTAGTATCTTTAATGAGTCAAAAAACTACTTTAATCATATTTTGCTACTTTACGACACACTTGTATACATTCAACATATCATGTTAAACATCGTACATGCTCAAATATATCATTAAAACATTATAAAAACGCATTATTATTTGATATTTCTAAAGAATTTAAAATACTGAGTCATAATGTGCCTTTAAAAGTGGAGTCAAATAAATAATGAAATAAGGAAATGCGACTGACTGTGGCGGTCTTAATAGTGGATTAGAACGTTTGTCCAAATTGTGCAAGACATGACTATATCATGAAATAAATCGATTTCAACAGTCGGGGGTCTTAATACCAGGATGGTCTTAAAAACGGTTTCTAATATAATAATTGATAATTTGACATAGCATATAGGTGACAGATAAAACAAGTTATCATTCATCACACCCTGAACTGATAATGTCAGGAATATTTTTTTTAAACATGCGCGTATGTAATAAATGAGGAAAAATCATCAACGCCTAAATTGACCAAGAACTAAAGTACAAATTTCAGATCATTCTTTTACATGTACTCCGTTTCCAAGAAATAATCAATTAATTGTGCAAATTGACACTATTTAAAATGAAAAGCGTTGCAAATCGTTACTCAAATCGACTAAGAAATTTAATATAAATCGATTATCAATTTTCTACCGAGTATATTAATATATAATCTATTACATAGCTTTTAGTCATTACTTTTATAAATGAAATTCAAATGTTATAGTTTTAGGCTATTGAACCTCAGTGGAATTATTATTATTATTATTAAAATGAACCTCGTCCGTGATGTTTTCATCATCATCTATATATCCCTGGAAGTTGACAACCTGGTTATCTGTATCAAACATGGAGTACATGGAACTGCTATGAGCTTCTGTGTCTTTCCGTTTAGTCACAGCATGCTGGTTACCTCGCCCCAACTTATGGCTGGTTCCTTATTATGACCTTCTGGAATAATTTGCTTTACCCATACCGTTATGGATAAGTCTGAAATCAAATGAAACGTTGTCAAGTTTATTTTGTATGTTTTGTTTTATCCCATGTAGTAAATAATTGATGTTCATTTGATTTTCAACATTTGGGCCGTGCCCATTGAGAAAACCAACATAAAACATAGTGCAAAAACATCACATTTTTACATGTACTTTATTTTTCTTCAATTTTATGCAAAAACAATATATAAGAAGTTTTTTTTAACTATAAGTTCACAGGTATATACCCTGAAAAAAAGACTTTTTTACGTCATGATATTAAGTAGAACGTAACGTCTAAATAAGGTAAATGAAATGGCGTTAAGATCAAAAGTACTACACAGACTGCAAGATTCTACATTTATTATAATTTGTACACAGTTTGTATACGTTTATCTACCGCGTTCTACACAGAAAATAGGAAAGAAAGAAAGAAAGAAAGAAAGAAAGGGATGGAGGAAGGAAGGAAGAAAGGAAGGAAGTAAAGAAGGAAGAAAGAAAATAAGAAAGAAAGAAGGAAAGAAAGAACGAACGAACGAAAGAAAGAAAGAAAGAAAGAAAGAAAAGAAAGAAAGAAGGAAAGAAAGAAAGAAAGAACGAACGAACGAAAGAAAGAAATATATAAAGAAAGAAAGAATGAAAGAAAGGAAAGAAAGAAAGAAAGAAAGAAAGGAAAGAAAGAAGGAAGGAAGGAAGGAAGGAAGAAAGAAAGACAGAAAGAAAGAACTGCTCTAATGTATCAGTAACTTTAATAGAAGAAGGGAGATGTGGGATAGTATTGTGTACAAATTCTTTATGTGAAA